TGAGGTGGGTACGAGGATGTTTAATGTTGACAATTCAAGAGATAGAAAATCGTCCTTGCAGTAACACCAGAGCTTATGTTATCTAATATGCTCTTTGAYATTTCTTTCCTCACAGTAGGTTTTAAAACATTTTGGAAATGTTTATTTTTTGCTTAAACCAAACGAACAAGCATATTTTCACGTTTATTGATGGGGTTGTGCTTACGGTCYCAGGCCCTCTGTGCAAATAAAAAGCAATAAACTGGAGGGAAGAACAGGCCATCAAAGTGCTCCTGAGAAGGGGGCGGTTCTGGATCTCAGGCAAATTTCTTAGCCTTGGTCTTCAATCTCCCCAGTGCGAGGCAGAGGCAGGGCTGGCTCTCTCTCTGCTTTGCCACGCTTGCAGCCCTCTCCGGTCCATATGATGCACTGAGTGTAGACTCTTCTCTGTCCCTGTTAAGTAGCTCTTGAAAAGGCAAACCTGGAGCAGAAGGAGGTGCTTTACCTCCTTCTTACCTCATGTGGCATTCAGCACAGCAAGAATTTAAGTCTTTGGGGCTGGGTTTCTGAAACTTAGTGGAGCCCTTAAAAGCTTTTATGAGGTTTAAGCACCATTTTCAGCTGCCCTTGAAGGATGTGGCCCTAGTGAGTTTCAGAAGGAGCCCTGGAATTGAAAGAGGTGGTAAAACTTGGGCCAAATGCTTTTCTGCTTTGAGAATATGCTGAGAAAGTGGCAGTTCTCTCTTAGATCCACCGGCATCCGCTGTGCCTCTGCTGTATGTAACCTTTCTGACAAAGAAGAATTAGTCCCAATTACTTTGTTTCTATTGCTAAGCCTGCAAGATTCAAGACTGCCTGTGTCCTGCATTTGTCCTATGGGATTATATTTCCTAATCCGATACCCTGTGAAAGCCTTGCAAAATGGACCTCGACGTTGCTGCGAGAAGGCTGCGTTTGGCTGGCACAGCCTGACGGCTGATGCTAGTGAGTTCCAGCCCACCTGAGTGTGCTGGAACGGGACGAGGACTTGGTGTCTTTGTGGCTGCCTTCCGTTAGTGACGGGGCCTAACGGCGCGGGCTTTTCCGTGGTCGCTTCATAGCAACGATCGATGACTCGGGCTTGCAAGTGTGTTTTTCCTGTCTGCTTTTTTTATGCCAGTTCTTAAATGGGCATAAAATAAATGTATGGAATAGTCATCAAGATTCAGTCAGACACCTAAGCTGGCTGGGCTGTTCTCCTCAGAGAGCTACCCATGCAGTTGGCAATTCGTGTCYGCAGCCATTAGGTTGTTTGGAGCAGCCTGCACTAACCTGCGCTTAGTGACTGCAGGTTGTCTTCTCTGCTCGCGTCCCACCTAGGGTCTTTGGGGAAGAAACAATCTCTCCTCGTGCTTTCCATACTGGAACCAGAGGATACAAAGGATTTTTTCCAGAGGCCTGGCTTCTCCTTCCTTCAGCAGTTCCTGCCCCTGTGGTACCCTTCCAACCTGGRCCTGCTACTCTGGGTTCTCCTGGGGCATATGTGCACATGGCTTCTTCTGAACTCTGGGCAATGCACTGTTGTGTCTCAAGCACTTTTCTGCTTTTTATGAACATGAGTTTGCCTTTCGACCTTAAGYAGAGTGCTGAGTAAAGTGCCCCTGCCTGTGCCTGGGAGTTGAAGGGCTTCTAGCAGTGTGCTGTGGGCTGTTCCTGCGTATGTGCTTGGATCCTTGGAGGGGCACTGGGAGAGAAAGGAGTTATTTTTGCCTCTGACAGGAGCCTGTTGAGTCATGTGTGGTGTCCAGCTTTGGTGCAGGCAGGGAGCCTGAATTGCTGCACCACTCAATGACTGTCCTTTACTTCAGGAACACAAGCATTACAAGTTGGTTCCCAGATGGGCTGTAAGAAAATACATTTGCAAACTGCTCCATAAAACACAGCGGTCTCTCTAAACCCCAAATTTCTAACCTCAAGTTAATGCTGGTTATAGCCAGCCCAGTGACCCTGTGCAAATCTGGCTGTCCCTGGTTCTCCTAGAATCCAAGACCTGGACGTATCTCTGGCCTTTCCTCAGGCTCTGGAGTAATATTCGCCTTTCTTGGTGCTGTCACACGCCTCTCAGGGCTGCTTCCTCTAACCTGTAGCTCATCTCCCAGCTCCATAATTCTTGCTGTCTTCGTAGGAAAGCTGGGTGATGGTTCCATTCTCTTAAGTGCTTTTTGCTTCTGAAATGTAGCTGGACCCAGATGGACTGTTTTGGTTATTCATGCTGCTACTGAATACACTTTTTTTGGAGGGGGAGAGAGAAAAAAAAAAAACCCACTACCAATCTGCTAACAGCTTCTTTAATCTGAAGATCTTGGCTGCATTGCCAGAAGTCACGGAAAGGAGGGTGGCAGTGAAGGAGTTCAGGAGTTCTTCCTCACGTGTGGCTGAAGAGCACTCGTGTGGTTTGAGGAGGGTGTTGGGTCAGTCTCCCGTGTGGGAGAGGATTTCAGGCTGCTTCAAAGGGCCGCAGCCCCTGACTGTAGGTTTGTCGGGGCTGAGGTGGCATCACAAGCTCTGGCTCACGGGCTTCTGCTCTACGTAATGAAGCGGACAGCTCACACAGCAGGCAGGGGAGCCCACCCTGGCAGGGCTCAAGGGAGGGGTGATGTTCAGCAGCCCCGGGGCAGCGCTCTGCATTTCGGGATGGCAGTGCTGCAGTGAGGAGGACTTGCAGAAGGGGCTGAACTTGGCCTTCTGGTGTCCTGGGGTCATACTGTTAAAGGCTGAGCTGGAGCACCGTCATGGATGGGGTTTTGCTGAGCTTGTTCCATGGAGCTATTGAGCTAGAAGGCTGGTGCTGGTGCATTTTGGTAGAAGTATTTGGGTGCTGCAGTGGCTGCTTGCTTGTAATAAGCAGTGTAGATAACATCAACAGAAGGTTTCCAGAGCCTCTGTTGCCTGCATGAAAGCAAGAGGGCAACTGCCAGCTGGGTCAAATACTTAGAGGAATACACTGAACATGGCTTTTCTGAGCCCTTGGTGGGTTCTCAGTCCAGTAAACTAAAACTAAAAGCAGTGGCTCCTGCCACTGCTTTTGTGAATCTAGATACAGTTCTTGTCTAAAATTATTTACTGAATCCAAGCCAAACTTAGGATTGCTTTTTACTCCTCCCAGAAGTAAATTTACCATATGCTGACCCTGGCCTGCCAGGGCCACATAGCTTCCAGCTGATMTAATCCCTCGATAGGACTGTTCCTTTTTCCCCTCTTGCTGCTGCAACCTTGAGGGAGGACGGACCCTTCCAGGAAGGCAAGAGGTGCATGATTCATGATGCAGACCTTGCAGTCTGCCAAAGCCTCCGGTGAGGGAGAGGGCGTAGGGRAGGAGGGATCTGGTTTGGGCTTGTGTCCAATTATTCCAGATTATTTTTAGACTATTTTGTACTGAGGAAGTAAACACTTAGTGCTGTGTGAAGGTCGGAGAGGACCCCACCCTTTCTTGGAAGTCCGYGCAGCCTCTGCTGCGTAACGTCAGCAGTGCTTCTGGCTCGGGCTGATGTGCAGTTCAGTGATTTATTGTAGTTTATTTTTGTGCCAAAGCATACCCAAAAATGTCTTGTCCTTTCAAGAAACCATTGTTTTATACTCAGCTTTTATCTTTGTTGCGTTTGTCTAGACCCAGTAAATACGGGTATCTCCGTGGTTATTTACCTTGATTGCTTTTTTACCCTATAGAGTAATGTGTAATACCTRAATTTATTTTAGCTATTGGTTATACTTATGAGACTCGTTCAATTAAAAAAACAAACCACCTTGCAATTAATTTTGAGCCAGCTGTGATTTTTATCACTCTTCAAACAAATTGTTGAATGCCGGATGCCTTCCCAGGCTCCAGGTGTGTGTTGTATCTGGGCTAATATTAAAATGAGATGTGATAATAAAGCAGGTTTTCTGTGGAGTACACTTGAATAATTGATAATAAATCAYGTRCAACTTTAATGCATTAATATAAATRACTTTGTAATTTTAATATTTTTACTAATACRAGGTTATTGTCGCTGGGCCCTGGCTCAATCACTTTCTTACCAGGAGCCTGCCAATTTTTAAAACACATTATGAAAGCAGAAAATTTCCCTACCATCACTTTTCTGGTAGTAGCAGGGAAGGGGTTGTGTTTTTGTTCTTACTTTTACTAGACAAGAGTTCGTTGTGGAGATTTTGGTGAGATGCATTTTACTTTTGAAGCAAGTGGGGCAGTGTTAGGCTTGGTGTCCTGTCGTCTTTCCTCAGAGAGGAATTGGTGAGAATAGGTACAGTGGAAAGCTGAGATTTACGGACTATGTGGATTTAGGAGCTGAAAGCCCGTTACAGCTGGCGTGCTTGTTAAACAGACTCTCCAGAGGCGGTGGCGAGGCAGCGTTAATGAAACGCCCCTGTCCGTGGCAGGGGCCGAGGGGTGGTGACAGGGGGAAGGAAAGTGTCGTGATGGGGCCGCTCCGGTGGCGACTCCTCAGGGACCTGTTTCCTTGAAGGCTGCCTCGGCTTTCTGAGGAGAAAAATGAATAATCTGTGATCTCTCTCGASAGCTGTAGCAGGCTTTGACCATTGCTAAGAGAACGTCAGAATAATTATTTCACGATCTCTTTAAATCTGCTGATAATAAAAATATATTCAATATTTAAAAAATATAAGCAATATAATAGTAACATATAAATACATTATATAATTATACATTATGACTATAATAATAGAAGTTATATTTTAAGATGTATTTAGGGATCTTTTCTAGATAGGTATAGTTTTGGTTTTTGTAAATAAGTGTAAATGATTTTCAAAAAATATATTCACTATGTTCCACCCCCCACTGAGTGGTGTTTATTGACCTACAGAAAGTGAGGAAAAATCCTCCATAATTTCAAAGCAAAGTTCATTCCATTTTGCTATTACAAACTACCATATATGGTTTACTTGTTATAATATGGGGGGAAACTGAAAGTTGGGTTGGAAACGAAGAAAAGTCAAATTCCCTTTTTCTTCTTCCGGCCCTCCAGGTAGAAAGACATGACATGAATACCCTGAGCTTGCCCCTACCCATCCGCCGCGGGGGCTCTGACACCAACCTCAACTTCGAYGTCCCAGACGGGGTTCTAGAGTTCCACAAAGTCAAGCTCAGYGCAGATAGCTTGAAACAGAAGATCCTCAAGGTCACGGAGCAAATCAAAGTCGAGCAAACAGCTCGAGATGGGAACGTGGCCGAGTATCTGAAACTTGTGAACAGCGCCGACAAGCAGCAGGCTGGGCGCATCAAACAAGTCTTTGAGAAAAAGAACCAGAAGTCTGCCCACTGCATTGCCCAGCTGCAGAAGAARTTGGAGCAGTATCACAAAAAGCTGAAAGATATTGAACAAAATGGGTCCTCCAGAAGTACRAAGGATACTTCCAAGGATAACTTGAAGGATGCTCAGCATGGAAAGCTTCGTACGTCTGGGCACGGGACTGAGAGCAGCAAGTCAGGGGTGCCGGGCGTCTCCTTGACGCCGCCCGTCTTTGTTTTCAGCAAGTCTAAGGAGTTTGCAAACTTGATTCGAAACAAATTTGGCAGTGCAGACAACATCGCTCACCTCAAAAATACCCTGGATGAATTTCGGCCGGAAAGCAGTTCTAGAGCATACGGYGGCAGCACTACCATCGTGGCCAAGCCGAAATACGTCAGCGATGACGAATGCTCGAGCGGTACCTCTGGCTCTGCGGATAGCAATGGGAATACTTCCTTCGGAGCTGCTGTGGCAGGCACCCTGGACAGCCAAGGGAAACTTTCCATGATTTTGGAGGAACTAAGAGAAATTAAGGAGACACAGTCCCAATTAGCTGACGATATTGAAAATTTAAAAACGCAGTTTAAAAGAGACTATGGCTTTATTTCTCAGATGCTACGGGAGGAAAGGTACAGGTAAGATATAAGTATTTTTTTAACCATCCTAGCTTCCTTTTAGCCATCTTGAAGTGACTTTGAATGAGTATAGGGACTAGTCAGAAAGAATAAATGTATTTGTGTGTGAGGCAGTGGCGGTGGGATACTTCTGAAATAAGAGGAAAATATCTCATTAATATCTAGTATCAAAATGTTCCACTCCTTTCAATAAGTGGCAATACAGATGTAACATCAATACTTCACATCAGATAATGTGGTAATTGTTTTGCCCAAGGCTTGTCTGAAAATCTGCCATCTGACATTTTACTGACATGCTGTTATAAGAATACAGTGTGTAGGGGATGCCAGCTGTTTCGTAACTAATGGAAGGCTTCTGATCTATTTTGGCCAGTAAAGGCTGATCAGCCTGCGGTGTAGCAGGGCTGACGTAGAGCTGGAAAGTGCTCTCCTACTGCTGAGCACAGACACAGACAGATCCAGGGGTGCAGGGTCGCTGTGTGTCCTGCTGCAATGCTGGGGTGCTGTTCCCCAAGGTAACTAAGTGCAGTAGCACAGTGTCCTCTCGTCYTGTTTGAATGAAGAGAAGAGAAAAAAGGGTCCATGTGAACTCGATAACCCTAGCCACTGGTTTTCTGTTTATAAAATTAATTAATGACATATAAACATTTGTGCTTTACTACCTACGGTCAGTCACAAAAGCCTTTCAGTCCGCAGAACCAACACTTACAGAGTAGTTTCCAGAGTTTTTACCAATTTCTCTCCTGTGTGTGCTGTAATGCCAGTCAAGTGAATCCTTAGAGGTTACCTTTTGAAGTGTGTAATTGCTGTCGTGGTTTAACATTACTCAAGTAGAGAATACTAATCTAAAAATTTTTTATTTTTTCTTGAGAAGATACGAAAGATTGGAAGACCAGCTGAATGATCTGACTGACCTGCATCAACATGAGACAGCCAACTTGAAACAAGAGCTAGCCAGCATAGAGGAGAAAGTGGCATATCAGGCGTGTGAGCGATCACGGGATGTTCAGGTACTTTCTTAACTTCTTCACTTATTATAGACTTTTAACACTTTTTTTTTTTTTTTTTTTTAAATCTTGTGCTGTAAAGCACACATCTTTCTGCATATTTATATATAAAGAATGTGAGGAAAGACATAAGCCTGTATTTTACCTGCTTTAAGATGAGAATCTATAGCACGTGGTTATCCCTTTGCATGTTTCTATGCAATCTAAACAAGTGATGGATAGAATTATTTCAACCTAGAGTCTAAGGATGAAACGATTGTTTCGCTTTACCTTACCATAAGTTTAAGATCCACTGGTGATGAAGGAAGSCTCTGTGACTGTTATCTTATTTGTTCATATTTTAAATAAAACTGCCTGTACATCCTGGTGTTCACATTGCTGATGGCAGAGGGGACAACCAGCAGGCTGCCAGCAGAAGGCTCGAGCTCTGCTCTGGTTGCTTTGAGAGGTAACAAGCCCTCAGGAACTGAGTGAGGAGAGCACCGAGTCTAAGCCTGTCACGGGCTCCTTGGTAGGCTGGAGGCAGGTCTGCTGTGCAGGCTCTTTCTGAAGGCAGAACCTGAATCCAGAGCTCTCCAGTGCAAGGACTATGAAGTGTTGAATGACTTATGACCTGAGTCCTGGGGAGCTTTAGAGGCTTTTAAAGCTAATTGAGGTGCTAAGTTGATGATTCATTTTATTATTGTTGTTGTTATTATTATGACCTCATAATAACCTCAGGTGCTAAGCTCTGTTTCTTTTATCTCTGTACAGTTGGCCCTGCTTAAACKTGTCTATTTGGAGTTTGCCAAATAAGCTAGGACAGAGTGAAAGCATTTAAGTTAGAAGTATTTAAATAACAAGCTAACACTGAAGCACCCTGTCCCTAAGGGATGGGGGGAGAAAGTGAAGGTGGGGACAGTTCTTAAAGCCTTTGTTTAGCCTCTCAGTGCARGAGTCCACGTGGAACCACTTTGCAGATGGACTTTGTCTAAAGCAGCACAGGTAATTTGAGGAGAACCCCAAGCCAGAGAGGAAAGAAGGCCTGGAAAGCTCTTTAGCATGTAGAAGAGCACATGCAAACCCTAAGGGAATTTGTACCACCCATTGTCTTCCATGTAATATTGCTAAAACAGTGAAATGAAACTGTTTTTTCGGAGAGTGACATTTTTGCTTTGTATCTTAAGCCAAATAAGTAGCCCAGAGATGCCCTCCCAGCTCTGGCTGCCTCGTGCTCCTGCTGGCTGCTCTGCACTGACCCCGGTGCCTGCTGGTCACAACTCACTTGAAAGGGGGTCTGCACTTTGCAGCTGGGAGTGGGGAATGAGGAAGGGAAGTTGGAGCATGATTTTTCTCTTCTAGGCATTGGCAAAGGGTTATGTTGACCTATCTTATGATATAACAGCCTTATAGGGTACTATATAATAGTATTCAAGATGCATCTCAAGCAGAAAAAATATGTTTTGGCAAGGGAGTGAAGCAGTTAGAAAATTTTCCATGTTTTACTCTGAGAGGATTTGAGATTCGAGTGCAGGATTAGCATTTTTTTTAAGTACACCTTCAAGCAGGAGAGCGAGGTCTATGTTCTTTAAAACAAAATGAGAAAATGTCATGAAAGTCCCCTGCCATTCCCTCCATGGGGAGGCCAGAATTCTCACAACTGAAGAAAATAGTGGGATCGTGTTTCCTTGCTTTCYGTATAGGCTGCTTGGAAACCAGGTAATGTAGACCCAGAGGGACCTGGAGAAGCCACGTGAGGGCAAGCCAGGCTCTGAAGGCATGAGCAGTGTCTGAGATTTACAAGCAAGCCTGGAAGTGTGGCAGGCACTAAAGCAGAATGTAGGAGTTGAAGTTACGAATGGTGCAGGGAAAACCATTTGACTCGCTTAGGCACCTGAAGCTGCAAGGCAAACCTTCCCGTGGTGCTTAAGGCTGGGTGTGCTGAGCAGAGCTCCTGGCCCTGTGTAGCTGGCTGACCTGCGGCTGCGTTGGCTCGGGAATAAGGGATCTGAGCCATGGCTCCGGAGAAGTCTGTCCCTGGGTGTGCTTAAACCAAGGCTGCCCAGCCTGGCTGGGGCCAAATTGCGCTGCAGGAATACGACACTACTGCCCTTGTGTATGAGGGTAGGGGTGCAAAARTAGTCCAGAGTGAGAGACTTTGATTTCTAAGTGTGCCTCTGAGAGAAGAGCATTGAATAGTTTCTTCCGCCTGGCAGGCAGTTCTGGATGGAGGGGTTGTCTCTGAGCTCCAGGGCTGCGGCTCAGCTGTGAGACGTTGAGGTGCCGGAGAGTGGGCCGGGCGGAGCGTCGCTCCAGAGCTTCATAGCTGGGGCTCTGAAGCGGGAAAAGGCAGAGCAGCCCTGGGGATTTGCAGGCTTGTGTTCTACCTTGGACAGTCAGTAGCTACAAAGCAGAGCCCCAAGGCACTTGCCTGGCTGTGTGCTGGGGTGTGCAGCGGCGTCAGACGCGCCAGCTTCTCCTGGAGGAGGGGGCTGGATGTAGTCTGAGAGAAGTGCCTAAGCCTGGAGAGCGGAAGAGAGGGAGGATTTATTCACCATCCTGGCAATAAGAGGCTTCCTCCATGAGCAATCACAAGACTAGTCTCCCAGTTATGTTTTGCCTTGTGTATCTTACCATAATGCAGTCTCTGTTTCAGCAAATTCACCAGAACACACCATTTCCAATCTCTTACTGCTATACTTTATGCCAGAGGGTTCCATACAKGGCTGAAAGCCGTTTGGTGTGACTCGCATGCACATCCTTGACAGAGAAACCCGTGTGCTCTACACGTAGGCTGTGGACTCAGGAGCTTTCGTGTTGCCAGAGGGAGAGGGCAGGAACCTACTGAGACCCTAATCCCAGCGCTCCACAGTGGGTGAAAGCAGGAGAACAGAAGTAACATAGAGCAGAGTGGCAGCATAAACCAAATGGTCCCCGTTGCACAGCAGGCTTGATTGGCATCACAGCAGGGCAGTGCCACCCTCCTGCTTTCTGTAGTACGCACACAGCAACCAACTTGGAGGCGTTTTAATGGAGCTGAGGTTGCCAGGGCAACAGCTTTCCCAGTGCTCTGTCTCAGCTGTAGATGCTGGAAACGGGAGCTATCGGGAACGTGAGCGCTGTGCCCCTYGTCTCGAGCATGAACGTGGAAATGCTGCATTGCTGACAATGTTGGCAGGTTTAATTATGCTGAGCAGGCAGTGGTGCATACCTATGTACGGATAGGTACGTGTATTTGAGGGGGGTGGAATATGGGTGGCTCATTCAAATTTGAGGAGTCTAATAAATTAGACTTTCTAACCTAGCTGAGGGATGGCTCCACAGCTAAAAATGGAAGGGCATTATGGTGAAATACAGCTGCTCTGAACCTTGTTTTCTGTCATCCCCAGGAAGCCTTGGAATCGTGCCAGACGCGGGTTTCCAAGCTGGAGCTCCATCAGCAAGAGCAGCAAGCGCAGCAGTCTGAAACGGTTAATGCCAAAGTGCTCCTGGGGAAATGCATAAATGTTATCCTGGCCTTCATGACTGTCATCTTAGTGTGTGTCTCCACTATTGCAAAGTTCATTGCTCCTATGATGAAGAGCCGTTTCCATATCATCTGCACTTTTTTTGCAGTGACGCTGTTGGCAATATTTTGTAAAAACTGGGATCATATCATTTGTGCCATAGAACGGATGATTATACCAAGATGAAGCTACTGGTCTGGCTGTTTTGTTGTACTTTTCTTCCCCTCCTCCCCTGTTTTCTAAGAAGTGCTGTGCATATACAAGCTGGTTTTGCTTTTGTCTGTTTAAATGTGCAGACTGGATGAAGAGCGCTGCAAAGCCGTGGACTTTAAGGTGGAAATACATAAACATATACTTGGCAGACAGTTAYCTGTTCAACTAGATTGTTTCCAATGGGCTTTGTCTGTGATTAACTGCTCATTTTTGTCCTTCTTCTGCCTTAATCCAACTGTTTTTCCMCTTTAGAAACCTATAACCACAAAAAGCGTGGTACCTGGGGAGGGGCCTGGAAGTATAAAGTGTGCTTTTCACTGGAACAGGGAGAAGAGATTATGATCAGGAGGGAGCACATTATGAAAGTGTGTCAGCCCTGTGAGAGAAATGAAGTAATCTTCTCTGAAGCCAGTTAGAATGACAAGACCAATTAGTCACCTGTATTAATATTTCCTGATTCTAAATTATTAGATGTCTGTATATGGGGATTCTAGTTTTCAGCAGAACTTGATGCTTGTGCTGGGAACCCTTTGCACAGAAAACTTAATTTTCAAAATCTAGGCCAGTTATGAGTGCAGACCACAGTTACTGTTCTGTCCTGGCACTCTTCTGTGTCGCGCTCAGGAAACACACATACGTGGCATGAAGCTTCCAGCGAGGAGGAACCCAATGGCAAGATCTCCAGGCTGCTTTGCTGAAGGATTAAGGAAGGGATTCAGGAAGGGAGCCTCAAKCTTCAAGCACTGCAGCCTGCAAGGGGAAGGCAGCGCATGCGGGAAGGCAACGCTCAGGTCGGTCTTTGTGTGCACCGACTTGCTGGGATTCTCTAATGAATGCAGAGCAGCCCCGTGGTGGGACTCCAGATAGAGTGGATTTCTCTTCTTGTGACACATTAAGGGTGTTCCACGTGTGACGGAACAGATCCTTGAACAAGGGATTCAACGTGTGTACGTACTAAAACACTGTGCAGACTCTCTTGACAAATGTAATGAAAATAATGTGTTACAGTACAGTCCACTACTAGGAGACAGGGTTGGTTTTGTTGATAGAATTTATTTTACTTGATCAAACAGCGACTAAAAACTTTCCTTGAAATCCTTTGCCTGGTTCCCAGCCATAGTGTAAAATAAGATCTTAAATAAAAATTAAAAAATCAGATTTCTCCTCCACCATGTATTTCAACAAAAAAAAAGGTGTCTCTATTTATTCAGTATTCAATGTTACTTGTAATTGTTGYGACAAATTGTTTTTTATTTTAATAGCAGTATTAGTTATGCTGGAGCAGGGAAGAGGACTGCATGAGGTTTGTGTTTGCTTTTAGTCAAGTGCAAGAGCTGGCGCAGAAGTTCAGAAACAGAGTTGAGGAGCAGAGGGGTAAGGACAGGGGCAATTATTTTATCATTTTACTACTACTAGAGTAACAGGTGCTTTCTGTGGCCTCAAGAGCTGAAGGGAGCACAGAATGAATGGCCAGAACAATGAAATGACAGGGCCTTTAGCAGCCGCTACCAGCCCCCTTCCCTCGCGCAGACGTTCCCGCCCCGTGCCGCGGCTGCGCTGGGAGGGCTGCGCGGGGTCAGCAGCACCCGGGGAGCCCCGCGCAAAGGGCCCTGCGGCCAGCGGCGCCCGCCCCTCAAGGCCGACCTGCCCCCCGGCTGCACTCGGCCTCCCCTCGCAGCCCGCACGCAGCCTGCACAGAGGAGCTCGTCTGCACAGGGAAGACTTCCATTACACTGAAGATATCTAAACATACCATAGCCCCTGACTCTAGCAGCTCTTTTCTGGTCTATCTCAAGAAAGGATTCCCCTTCGGTTGCTTTTATACCCTTTTGATGTGTCATAAGATTGTCTTGGACTTTTTTATTGTTATAAAACAAAACCTTTCCATCTTCATTCTTGCAGAGGTAATCAATGTTTTTTATAGTTTGTACTTTCCCCTTTAGACAATGAAAGGGTTTGCCACTCAAAATCCCCTCCTTTTGTTCCCCTGAATTGARCCTTTGGCTAACTTCTACCAGCCATTTTATTATTTATTATTTGCCCCTATAATGTTTATTTTCTTACCTGCACCACAACATTACAAATGCACTACACCAACCAGGAGACCTGGTGTTGAGGCTGGGACAGCAGTGGCTCCTCTTCATGGTGCCCTCGCGCCCTTCCTTGCTACACTGTGCATCCTTCTACTCCCTTCGCAGAGGGCAGCCGCAGAACCACGTGCTGCCCCTGACACCACAGGCCCCGACTCCGGCCCGAGCAAGGAGCGGCGGTCAGAGAGCAGAACCGCTCTTGCTGTGCCCGCCGTGACAGGAGCAGGGAACTGCCCCGATGCTGCCGAGTATTCGGGGACAGGCCGAGGGCCTTGGCTGCCCGGGAAGGCTGCCCCGCTTCACCTCTCACAGCGACTGCACTGCTTGACTGCACGCATCTTCCATGGTCCCCGTTTGCATTTTTGGTCTCGCACAGCAGGCTATTTGTGTTCTCTGACTCATCATCAKCAGCCTCTTTACCCTTGCCCCTGGCTGAAAGGGCCAGGCGGCCGTGGCTGCCTGGCAGTGGCTCCCTGTGCCCCGCTCTGGCGGTGGCTCTGTGGCAGTGCTCCCATGGCCGGGCGCGGGGGCACGGGTGCTTCCCCGCAGCGGTGCCACTGCCCGCCGCTGCTTCGGCCACTGGCAGGGCAGCCCCAGCCAGCATTTCCCTCACGCTGTGTCACGGGCCCCCTCGCTAGAACCGGTACTAATTTATTGGCAGCACTAAACTAGGTTAAACTCCCTCCTCCTGTGGAATGTCACTGTGTTTGAGGAACCTCTTGTTCTTCGGGGTTCCTACACTGTCTGCTTCTTCTGAGCTCCTGGAGACACCCTCCCAAACCTGGCTGCCCCTTAGCTTACTGTCAGAATAGGTTGTTCCTCTGCTGCAGGACTGTCTGTGTAGAGAGCTGATATCTGCACTACATGAAGGATATTTAAAAGCCAATGTTTTTATGTTAACAAAATCATGAATGTGTGTACAGGGCATAAAAATTTCATAGCTGAAGGCAATTTGCTGTAGCAAAGGTATCTGATCCAGTGACTAGAAGCTGAAACTACRTGAATCTAGAGTAAGGATAAGCGTTAGTTTTGTAACCACAGCTACTGAATAACGTAAATAAGGACCACAATCTTTTTTTAATTAAAATTGAATGCTCTTGTTTAGAGATGAATCATTTCAGGCTTATGTTGGCTATAAAGCCAGCCACAGAATTACAGTAATGCTTTCTTGCCTTAAAATCAATGATTGAGAAATTCTCTTGGAAAAAAAAAAAAAAAACCTCTGAGCTTGTTTCACTTAATTGACATGTCATCTTTTTAAGCCAAGCCTATTTCCACTGTGATACAGATATTTCACTTCTGGATTCCATGGTACAGCAGAAGGTAAACACGGATTAATGTAATTAAACACTGCTTATTTGGATAACAACTTAATCACTCTGAAAGTCCAACTAGGAATAGCAATCAGACAAGTTTACTCTTTTTTAATCAAGCAAATTCTTATCTGCTTTGCACTTACCATGATGCCACAACACGAACTTTAGCTAACTATATTGTTCCCCTTAAAAAAAAACAGAATGTAAGTGCTGAAGCTTGGGAGAACATGATGGTCAAAGGCCTGTTTTCAAGTAAAATTTCTGTGGTCTCTGATGCAGAGTAAAATCCAGGAGAAAATCCACACAACTTTAGATTACAGCAGTTCAAGACTAATAAAATTTTAGTTAGTTTTTGTTAATGGAATTGCTTACTCTCCCTGAAAAAGCACTATAAAGAATGTAACTCTGGGACACCGAACAAGATGCTGTATATAAAGACTGCATGAGGAATACTCAAATTATCTTATACCGTCGATTTTCTGTGTGTATAGTATACTCAGTTGTACTATTGTTGAAAAGTTTTGCACAATGTCACCTTTCTTGTTTTTCCTTTTTTTTTTTTTTTTTTTTTTTTTTTTGCCAGGGAATCTGGGTCTGGTAGTACAGATGTGTACCAAAAATTGTCTGTTTTAGTTGCCTGAAGTTAACTGTCTCAGCGTGTAATTTTCCTTTTGCGTGGCACTGTGGAAAGATGCAACTATTCAAAGGCATTCTTTGTATATTTTGTTGTGTAGTCATGACTGCCTCTAAGGTGCCATTAATATTTTTAAATAAAGATATTTACATTCATTTGATGGTGAAAGTTGGGTTTCTTGGGTTTCTTAGGCCTTGCTGCTTGCGGGTCCCAGTGTTGTGTCAGAAGCAAAGCTGCCTGGCTGAATCCCAGCTTTGAAACAGAGACAAATGCWCAGGCGCCAGTGGGGAGCATTGGGCTCCGTTGCAGTTCGGACCCAACCCAAACCGGTAGCTTGGGTTTTATTTGCAGCTTTGCCATGTCATAGCTGCAAACACTGAYGGAGGGAGCAGCGCTGCTGCTCTCCAGAGCCGCTGTGAACATGCAGTGCAAACATCTTTTACCCTGCCAGGCAGTTGGACTCATCTTGGATTTCCTTTGTGGAACGCTGAATTAGAAACCTAAACTGAATTTTTATGTTATTGCCTGAAAACTGTTACTACTTAGTCACGATCCAAACGCTGATATGCCTAGTGGTTACCATGGCTGGCATAAAGCAAAATACTTGAATTTATTATGAGTCTTCAGAACTCGGATTTTGGATAGCTGCTTTAGCGCTCGGAAATAGAAAGGCAGAGAGGAAAATACAGGGGCAGTCTTCACAGGACATCCTTAAGCAAGTCACACATTGTGCACGTGCTGAGCGGAAAACTAGAGAGCACAGGAGGCCCAGGTAACACATGGGACTGAGCAACGGGCTCAAAAACTCTCTCATGCCTTTATTGATGCCCTATGTGCTAAAATATCTGAGTAATTATATTCTGGTCCCAGAATTATATTCCAGTCCCACTGAAGTCAATGGCCAAACTCCCTCTGGGTTCAGCTGGGAACAGCTTCTCTCTCTGCACTATGACATTTAAGAGTAACGGCATCTTCTGGCTGTAAATACCCCTTTTTCCAGCTCAAGGCTCWCACAGCAATGTGTGTCCTCAGCCTCTGTGAAAGAAAAGGGCCGCTGCAGGTCACAGCCCTCTCCACCACGGCTGAGTGGTGCCATCTGCACCTCAGGCTGGGCCTGCTTCAAGGCCTGGCTCGGCCAGCGCTCCTGGCACTAATCCCTCGCTTGGCCTCTATCCCCTTAAATCGCATCCAGGTCAAGGTGACACAAACTAAGCATGGATTAAACTACAGGTATGCATGGCAGCATGGAGGCACAACAGCAATACCCTGCCTAAAGATACAAGCTGCTGGGTTACAGGAGCTTGAGGCTGTACCTAATCTAGCACCTATTTCCAGCTTTCCTCACTGGAGGCAACAAGGAGGCCGAGGGAAGCTTTCAAACTCATCAAGACATTTCTTACCAGACCTGCACATTATCTTCATCCAAAAAGTGCATGGTCAAACTTCTCTCGACTTGGCTTTGCCTCAGGTGCCGCCTTCTGCACATGAGGGTGAGCGTTGATGACCCATCCAGGACTAACACAAAAAGGCGCGTGAAGAGACAAAACCTCTTAATTCTGTGAACCAAAAGCACCAAGGGTATCTATGTGGGTTCTCTTTTAGGTGAGCCCCACATTGCTTTTGTTTATTTTAAAGTGACTTTACATTTTTGTGGAATAAACTATCACCACAGGCAGTTGTATTGACTTCTATTCGCAAGAGAAAAAAGATTGGTTTTGAGAGGTATWTAAAATAGAATTTGTCACTGCTGGAATTCAACACTGCAAAGATATTTCTCCTGTTTCCTTTAGGTACTATCCTAATTAGCAGCTGGACTGCCTGACATAAAGAAAAAAAACAACAAAGCCCAGTATTTTCCTTCTCTTCAGCAAGGCATTTTCTTTCATATTTATTTTCTTTCAACTTTTTTCTCCCATGTCTTGTCATATTTCCAATCCTGATTTTTGAGATTTTTTCCCACTTCCTGCTCTCTAGCCGCATCTCCTGTGACCTCCTTTTACCTCTGCCGTGCTCACCAACCCCACACATCTGCTTGTTATTCCTCCTCTTGGCCATCTCCTCCTT